GGAGGCATGGACGTTTGTTGCGTATCTGAAAAGAGAGGCACTATATACAAGTCAGGGGCCTAACTATGGAGGAATTTCCTTCATAGAGGAAACTGTTTTAAGTATAAGTGATCACATTCTCTTAGTACATGACCAATCCGAACTCGTGCCTCACCTATTATGTATACTTTTTAGTAGCTCTAGGCCTAGGTACTTAATTATCCAAAACCTAGGTATAACTAAAAAATAAAATGTTCACAGTATGCAACTCAAGTTCAAATAACACTTTTCTCGTGCAGCTCAATCAACTATTACATTTGTCATTTAATACCCTATTCAGACTAGACTTTGCATTGCGACCTGTTGCGATGTAATCAGTGGTAAACAGTTGTAATCCAAATTGTTCGCAACCATTCATTCACAAACTTTTTAGACGGCCCATGAGTTATTAGCATGGTAACATTTAGGAGTCTCAAAAGTTTTACAGACGCTTCTTTGGTAGGTGACCTTTTGACCTCCTGAATTCTGCAATATGAGATTTTCGCAGAGGTATATTTGAGGCAGAGGAGGCCCATATCCAAAGATAATTCATAGCATATTGTATCCTGTGTATTCATAGAACATGTTTTATTTAATTGCATATTGTTAATATTTCACAATACCCTCACATCGTGTAAACATAATTACAGTATATATATATATATTCATGTTTTTTGCTCTTTATTTATTCATGGAGGAATACGAAACTTAATTAAATTTAGAATAATATATCATTTTCGCAGTGGGCCTACATTAATTTGTCTTATTCCCTTGAAAATAGTTCTAGGAACTGTAAAATTGGTCAATGGTACCACATTCTGTGTCCAGTATCAGCATTTTTAACCTGGTGCTTTTTTATACCCATTTTATAGCATTATGTACAGGGCATAGGCCTTTATTATTTCCTTTTTTTTTCCTTGAGTCATATCTGTAAGAATGTAATGTACTGTGGTCATACAAAAATCTTCCTATCGGAGGGTCCCTCTTGAACATTACCCACAAACCATCAAGTCAGCTATGGGGATATTCAGGATAGTACGAAGTCCGTAAGAATAATAATAATAATATGTCGTACTTATATAGCGCTTCATGCACAAAGCCTCTAAGCGCTTCAATTTACTACCCCGGTCATTGGATCAAACACATATGGAACACATACTCAGCAACAAATTAAATTATTAAATTATATTATATTACTATTCCATAATATTGCAGTTAGTAATCAGCACAGTTGTGTTGGAAACTACCAGGTACCCACTTGTACTCCTGGTATAAAAGTGAAGTAAACAACATTAACTTATAAAAATTGACAACTGGATTAACAAAAATGAAAAAAATCAGAAATATTTTATTGAATCCAGAATGAATATATTTCCTCTGATTGGTAGGCCTAAGTAAGTGTAAATAAATTTGTACCGGCAGTGTGTTTTTCGAAATCCAACGTTATTTGAGGCATAGGAGGCCTATTTCCAAAGATAATTCATAGCATATTGTATCCTGTGTATTCATAGAACATGTTTTATTTAATTGCAGATTGTTTTCACAATAGCCTCACATCGTGTAAACATAATTACAGTATAGTAATTGTTATTACTTGTATTACATATATTCATGTTTCTTTCGCTTTATTTATTCATGGAGGAATAAGAAACTTAATTAAATTTTGAACAATAGGCCTATATCATTTTCGCAGTGGACCTACATTAATTTGCCTTATTCCGATCCCTTGAAAATAGTCCTACGAACTGTAAAATTGGTCAATGCTACCACATTGTGTCCAGTAACATAGCATTTTTAACCGGGTGCATTTATATGCCCAATCTTTAGCATTAGGCATAGGGCATAGGCCTTTATTATCTCCTTTTTTTTCTTGAGTCATATCTGTAAGAATGTAATGCACTGTAGGTCATACAAAAATCTTCCTATCGGAGGGTCCCTCGTGAACATTACCCACAAACCATCAAGTCTGCTATGGGGATATATTTAGGCCACGAAACATAGAAAATGAGATACCAGGATAGTGTACGGAGCAATATGTTAATAAGATAAATTTAGTAAAATACGATAAAAGTATAGCTATATTGTACTACAATAAAGTAGATATATTTAGGTGCCATATTTTCAAAATTTGCTCACCTAAGCGTCAAACGTAGTGGGGCTGAGGTGGGTATAAACTTTAGTCCCCAATAATCTTTGTCTGCTAATAGACAGGATGGGGAGGGGTGATGGCTATAAAGGCTTGGCAGCTTCTATTTCCGGGCATCCAGAGGTAACATATTTCCCAATACTCTATCTCTATGCTAACTTCATTTCTTATGTTTGCCCCTTGAGGGGAGGGCTAGGGGTCCTACAAGTTGTCAGCATTTATTTCCTATTTCCGGGCATTCCGAGTTGCAAAAAAAGTGCACGGCTATGTGAGAATAGTGTTGGCGTAACAGGCGGGGGGGGGGGGCAGGGGCAGAATTCCCCTTCCCCCTCCCTCCACTGACGGTTTTTACCGGGCTGAACTACCCGTCGTACCGGGCTGGGTAATAAGAGAAAAGAAAGAGGGGAGAGGGAGGGAAAGAGAAAGAAGAGGAAGAGAAAAGGAAAGAAAAAGGAAAAGAAAAAGAGGAGAGAAAAATAAGGACAAGAATAAAAAGGAAGATATCATAATGACCAGACTCCCTGCAACCTCTTCTCCACTTAACTCCTTTGATATAAGCTGCCAGATGGCGTAGGCTAACCACCGGGGAACGAGGGGAAAATATCTATCTTTGAAAAATCTTGCCCACCCCTTTATAAATGCCTTTTTCATCCCCTGAAAGCAAGGCAATTCAACAGAAGGACGCCCATCTCTGGACATCAACAGTTATAACTCTGGCATCGACATTCTAGGCGCACGTGCGTCCCTACACTCTGAACGTCACAAAACCATAGCAACTAGACCATAAACCGTCAGCGTACGTGACGAATTACTCACGCGCGTGTTAGTTGCCATGGTAATCGCGCGTCGTGCGGTGATTACAAAGGCCTAATGATAATTTGCACTAATATTAGACTGAAATTATATTCTTCATTTCAACATTAATTTTACCAAAATTGTGGTGAATTGTCGTTCATGAGACTTACTTCGCGGAAAAATTTTTAAATGTTCTGTATACACTCAAATGTTCGTTTTCGGCACCTTATGCCAACATTGTCAAAATGGCAGATTAATGTTACATAAGAACATGAAATTTTATAAAATTCGTAAATTTTAAATTGCTATAACTTTTCATTTTCTTGGTCAATTTTCACAAATCAAA